TATACGAAACATCCTCTGTGCCCCTCTGCAAAACAAAACTACGCATTATCACCATCCCTGGTGCGAGTAAAACACTATTTTTACTGCGTGTGAAAGCTGAACATGCAGGGTTTTAAGTGTTGTGTATAAATAAAACCCAACAATCAAACTATTTGTCTAACACAATAAATGAGATGAGATTCATTTTTAAACAGGCACACACTATGATGCATATCACTGCTCTACTTTATTATTTATCCTGGCTTCGCGTCCTTTCTAAATCGTGGCCAAGGCACGCTACCAAAATGACTAAAATTATACACTTACCCTCTCTTCAGATGTCCTGTATATCATATTCTGAAGAAGCACTCTTAAATTATTTCCTCATCATGTACCTGCAGAACATGTTTGCTTGGGTTTGTGGTTTGAAGATATATCTTGGTAATTAAGTTGCCGAACAGCAGTAATGTACTTTCTGTTTCTGTTTTCTTAGCTGGATTTTGGCACTGCAGAAAAGTTTGACCTCTGTCGCACAAACCAGTAAAAAGAAGGGAAAGTTTAAGAAAAAAGCCTTGTGGTTGTATAAGAATCATTTCACTTCATACCTTGCCCTTAACATCAAATTGTTGCCTGTTTATAAATTAGTTCCTGGCTGTTAAAGCGGATCGGACATGTCTCAGATAAAAATTTTCTTTCTAGACCTTGAGGGGTTTCTTCCACAGTTTCTCCAAGGCAGATTTGTGGCTTTTTTCGTCCTTCCCAGCAGAACGCAGCATCTATTCTCAATTAATCTTGAAAATTCCCCAATATTAAAGGTTAGACTTTTTAAGTATCTTATTCATGAGAGAACTAAGCTATCTGTCAGCAGAGGGCATGTTCAAGAGCAAACGTCCACTGTGTGAAATCTCAAAACATTCAATGGTTGTTCAGTATGTTGTGTCTTTTTCCACCATATTGCAGTTGCACAAGATGGTTAGTTGGGCTAAATTCACTTAGAAAATGTTACAGTGATCTACGGACCTTGCTCCCATGTTTCCTGCCTTTGATCTGTATAATAATAATAATAATAATAATAATAAAAATTAATAATAATAATACATTTTATTTCAAGCGCCTTTCAAGACTCTCAAGGTCGCTTTATAAGTGCAGGTACAGACAAGAAAAATAAAAACACCAATACAAATAATTACATAAAATAATCAAGATAAAACAAAGGAGCTAAGACTAGATAAAAATGTAGGAATGGAGGATTACGGTTGCTAGGCTAGAGAAGGGTAGAAGAAGGAGTATAGCTATGGTGGATAAGCCAAGCGGAACATATGAGTTTTGAGATGGGACTTAAAGATTGAGAATGAGTTGATATTGCGGATGTCAGACGGGAGAATGTTCCAGAGTTTAGGGGCTGAGTAACTGAAGGCTCTGGCTCCAGTGTTACTGAGGCGAATACAGGAAACAGATAAGGAAACGGAGGATGATGAACGAAGCGAGCGAGCGGGAGTGACAACATGGATGAGATTAGAAATATATGGAGGAGCGAGATTGTGGATGGCTTTGAAAGTGTACAGAAGAATTTTTAAGTCAGTTCGGTATTTAACAGGGAGCCAGTGAAGATGGTGCAAAGCAGGAGAAATGTGATCGTAGATGGAGGTCTTGGTGATTATACGGGCGGCGGAATTCTGGACCGGCTGAAGGATATTGAGTGACTTTAGGGGAGACCGGAGAGGAGGGCATTACAGTAGTCGATGTAGCTGGTGACAAGACTGTAAATCGAAATAGCAGCAGAGTGTTGGCTGAGGGAGGGGCGGAGTCGACTGAAATTGTGGAGATGGAAGTAAGCAGTTTTTATAATATTGTTGTGTAAAACCCTGTCTGGTGGAAACGTTTGCAATAAGCATTTGTTTTGTTTTGGATGACAGAAAATACCATATGTATTAATGTCTTGGTCTTAGTTCACATAGTGAGATACTTTTGCTCATTGGGGCCTGATTCTCCTTGTCCTACAACCATAGACATCCCTGATTATCTAAATGGCTCTAAAGACTCCTATCTCATAATCCTGCCATGTGGTGTGCTAAATGGTCAAATTGTAAATTTCCTTCTAGGATCCTAGAACCCTCCGAGGTGCTTTACAACACAAGCAGTCATTCACCCATTCACACCCTAGTGGTGATGAGCTACAATGCAGCCACATCAGCCATGGAGCACACAGACAGAGGCGAGGCTGCTGAGCACAGGCACCACCGGTCCCTCTTTCCCCCACCAGCAGGCAAATTATCTTGCCCAAGGACACAACAGCAGCATTCTCTGCTGAGAGCCGAGATCGATCCGACAACCCTCCAATTACTAGACAACCTGCTCGCCCTCCTGAGCTACTGCTGCGAAGACTGCTCTGGTCTGCTCGGGAGCACGTTCGGACATTCAACAAGCTGGACTGTCTTGCTCCGATATCACAGCTTGTGATAACTAGCAAGCAACTTGTTTAATGTAGCCAATCAGAAGTAGTCCACAAACTAATGTTTGTTTACACTGATGTCACGTTTAAACGTTTAATCTCGAGAGATTTTGCGAGATTTCCCAACTGGCCAAGGGATGTTTGTGGGGTAATGGTTTGTGTGGAGTGTGTTGTCTTTTGCACTACTTTGGGGTCTCCCACGTTTGGAACTCGTCTGACAAATTTACGTTTTTGCCATGTGAACCCAAAACATTCTCACACACACGAAGCGTTGAAAAATGGCGATGGGTGACCAAGCGTTTGTTTCCATGCGCTGTGCCAGAGCGTTGCTTTCCAACGCCCGCAGTAAATCGCACATTTAACGTCGCCTTCCGGAGTATTTCTCTTATCTGATGGCACCATCTAGTGTTTGATAAGCATATTACCCACTTCTTCTGTAGCCGACAGAGCTAAAACACGTTGTTTTACAAGGATTATTCTCATGTCTTGTTGTGTTTTCATATATTTAAATTTTAAAGACTTTCTTGTCCTCGAAAAGTTCATCAACTCTGCATCAATTGAATAGTTCTGGTTGGCGCTCAGTTTCCTATTGCATGGAGCTCTGCGAGGCAGGAGGCGTGCTTAATAAAAAATAAATAAATAAAGATGTATTGCTTACATTATATCACAGTACACGAAAAGATAATCACTTTTACGTATTTTTGAAAAACCAAACCTAATTTCTGAAAGTAGAAAACTGCGGAAAGCTACTTTGACCAACATTTAACCTCTAACCTCTTGCGGTTTAACCTTCCCCTCACCCACATCCTCCTTAATAGGGTTGGGCATCATTTGATTTTGAATGATTCCGATTCCATTTCCTCGTTTCGGTTCCGGTTCCTATCGATTCCCGATTCCGACTCTTTCAAGACATGACATGCTTTACATGAGCCGGGTAACCACAGGTCCTGCTTGATGAAATAATCTGAACTTAAACATGAATTTTAATTCTATGAACAACAACATCACCTTCACTTGGACAAAAACATGTTTTGGAGAAAAAAAGAAAAAGACTTGCAGCACAACCAGTGTGTTTGTTTCTGACCACAACCCGTGCACACAGACAGCTGGTGTGATCAGCTCTGGAAAGTGCTGATCACAATTTGCAGATCACGTTTATTTTTCACGGAGATTGGCCACGGATTCCTCTTCCGTCGGCACACTAGCAATCGAAATAAAAAACGTTGAGCGATTCCAGGAAAAATGAACAGTTGGAACCGGTTCGAATGGATGCTCGATTCTCGATGCCCAACTCTACTCCTTAACCCAGTTTCTCATTATAAACTTCCTGTTAACTGTGTTGGAGAGGGACGTTACAACTAGAATTTTCATGCACAAGAGGGTAAAGGACACAATTCAGTGAAATCTCAGTTTTACCTCCACAGTCGGAAAACAACGCTCTGCCATAGCGCGTCGCCTCCCTACATGCTGGGGCTCCCAATGCATCGGAAACAAACACTTGGTCACCAATCATCACTTTTCGACACTTCAGGTGTGAGAATGGCCTTACCAAGCTGCTACTGTTTGTGAAATCCTCTTCAGTGTTTAAGCTCCTGGTTTTCATTCCACCCTTGTTGGTGTCTCTTGTTTGTATTCGCCTCTTTTTTTATCCTGTTTCTGTGCTTCCTGGTGTTCCTAGTGGTTATTTCTAGTAAGTGCCGTACTCTATTAGTTCCTGTTACCTTAAATTGAATCATTTATTCCACTCACCTGCCAGCCTTCCATGGATTTCTACCTACGTTTGGGCCTACACCAAACCACTCCCCACAGATGAAAATGGCAAAGACACTCGGTCTGTCTTTGTACTTTTCCTGTTTGTGACTAATTAGCAACAAGAAAATGAACACAGATGTAAGTGTAAGCATAAATGTTTGCAGTTTCTATGCACACAGAAGTTTTGCACATTTGGGAATTACAACAAAAACTTTGCTTATTTTTTTGCAGTTTTGTTTCTCCACTACTCTCCAGCGGTCACAATCCTGTCACAGTTTAGGCTCGAATACATTTTATTTTGAGTACTTCGACTCACTCATGATTTATTCTCCTTAATTCAAACTGAGGACTAATGTCCAAACTTGCAGGTTAAATGCAGACTATGTATTAGTTCTCCACAAAATTCAGCTTACATTTCTGAATTAAAAGAGGAGCATCTCTTTGTTTTCCCTTAACTTCACATCACACATCCTTCAGCTGTATAGATAAAATGCCAGGCTTAATCTGACTTCTGTTGCACTCAGCAGAGGTGACATAACCTGCAGCATGGTTAGACACACACAAATAAACCTAATGTACCAATATTTGAACTGTGAGGGAAAGCTGCGCTAATCTTTTACATGATGATTTGAACGTTCCATGATTTGAAACGAGAGTTTTTTGCTCAACCAAGGCTCTAATCTGCCTTTGTTTATTTCTTCAGATTGTAAAATCAATAACTAGAAGTTCAAGACATGTTTAAAAATAAGTATTGTGTAAATCCTGCCTGCCCTATTTCAATAGATCCAGTAATCATTTGTTTTTGGATCTTCTGCAGAATCTTTGGCTTCTACAAGGGAATCCTGCCTCCGATTCTGGCGGAGACCCCAAAACGAGCAGTGAAGGTAGGATAAAGGATATGCATGTTTGCCTTCAGAAAGCTGAAAAGCCTCTCAGGATGTCACGCGAGGCTCGGGATCTGCCTGCATTGTGAGCCGCTCTGCTGCCATATGAAAACACTCAAAGTGCAGTTGCTCTTACACAGCGCACACGTGTTGATTAAACACATAACGCCCTCAAACATGTCTGCCTCCTCAGACACTCCTGTTTGCTCTGTCAGCCAACCAAATATTGACTTGCAAACATTTGCAGCAAGCCGTCCCGTGAGCCTCATCTTTTGATAGTTACAGGAAGGCGGGATCCCTTGTTTCGTTCTGAGATGGAGTCAGGAGGGGGGGGTGCTGACAGAAAAGGGGCTGGGTTGGGAGGGGGAAACAAAGGGGGATGTAAACTTGGCACTAAGCAACTCTGTAATGAGATGCCGGAGACAGAGTGAACTTTGAAAATAAGCACTCACACTGAGAAGATGTGGTAATCGCTCACACGGTGAACAAAGCTGCCGATGGTGAGAAACTTCTGGAGCAAAGAATTCAACTAAATTAAAGCTCAGATGAAACGGCCTCTGCAGATAAACAAATCAGGAACTGCTTTAAAGCCCCAACAAGGCTGGGGTCTAGTAAAGAAACCGTCCCACGTATATCCACATTCACGTGTGTTTTAGCCAAGATGAGACTTTCTGACCGTTTCTTCATTCTGCAGTTCTTCACCTTCGAGCAGTACAAGAAGTTGCTGAATTTGACCCCGTTGTCACCTGGTTTGGTGAGTCTGGCACGCAGCAACACCTGAATACACTCTCGCTTAAAAAAATAAACACCAACACAGAGAAGCAGGAAGAATGGTGCACCCAAAGTCAAATATCTGCTCACCTGCCGAAGCCTTTTAAAACAGACAAATGCCAAGAATAATTTTACCATGCAAATGAGTCCATGAAGGTGCAACTGTTTCTATTAACATTCAGTTTTCAGTCTGAGTCCAACTAATGCAGGAGTGTGTCAGACGGTGTCATTTTAGATTGTTTTATAGAAGTGCTAACTTGCATGCCAGCACCTGCTTATTGGTTTAGATGGAACCATTCTACATTTTTGCATTTGCTTTAACAAGTTTGACTAATTCAACATTGGTTTTGTTTCCATGGAAAATAAAAATAAAGGTTTTCAAGCAAGGATTAAATGACCACAGCCTGGAATTTAAATTCTGTTAAACACAAAACGTAACCTTAACCATAGATAGATAGACAGACAGACAGACAGAGACAGACAGACAGACAGACAGACAGACAGACAGACAGACAGACAGACAGACAGACAGACAGACAGACAGACAGATAGATAGACGATAGACAGATAGATAGATAGATAGATAGATAGATAGATAGATAGATAGATAGATAGATAGATAGATAGATAGATAGATAGATAGATAGATAGATAATATTGAGTTTATCTAACAAATTGTATAAAAGTTCTCCCGATGGGGGTATTTTTGTTTTATTTCCTAGTTTGGTAGATGATGGTATAACTGGGCCATCAGCTGATCATCAGCTACTTTCCTGAACCATTGAATTAAATGTTAGCTTCATTCCAGGAAGCAGAGTAGCCATGCAACACTTTTATAGTTCGTTAGGCTCTGGCAGCAACTCAGAGGGTATTTTGTAAACACGTGCGTCTTTATAGCGAATATGTTGGCTGCCGTTGTGTGAATATGAACAGTGGGTTGGGTTGTTACAAATACAGAAGTGGTAGAGAGCAGTTGTTTCTGTTGTTTTGAGTGTGTGAAATTCAGATAATACCCGTGTGATTAAAAAGCAGAGTAGATGTGTGTTTTTATCCAGCTTCTGTCGGCCAGCTAAAAAGATTGTTTCGTGGAAAATGTCAACGTTAATGTTTGTGATGAAAACTAAAAACAGAACCTCCCGACACGTTTGGTTACTACAATACCGATTTGTTCTTTTGGCTGGAAGCATTATATCTACAACTGGTTAACTTTTGGAGTCAACCCAATTCAAGATGGCCACCACCAACAACTGACCCTAGAAAATACAAAGAAGGCATTAACTTAGACAGTTCTGTGTTGCTATTGAGACACTATTTGGCATCTTCTAAGATGGAAGTCATCATCAACACATAAAATACTTGAAAACCAACCAATCTGTCAGTTACTTTTCATGTTGGTCAAAAATAAATAGTCTTTTCTGACTGCCTTGACAAACAGCATATGTTGTGTTTGGGATGCTGGGCCTTCCAGCACAGGTTGCTGTTAAATGGATGCTAGACCAGCATCCAAAACACAACATATGCTGTTTTTGTCAGTAGGGACAGAGTCATTTGACCTATTTAAGCTTTTGCTGCTTTGATTAACATTAAAATTGGACTTCCTGTCTTCGCAGTCGCAGGATTCAGATAGGGCTGGGGTTAGTTTACAGGTCTAACTGGCCCACACATTTTAAAGTCCAAGATGAAAACTAAAACCCTTAGTTGTTGTTTTGTTTCCTGTTTCTTGAAGTGGATCAAAAATATTCATGATGAATGAAGCTGATCTTATAACCAGACTCCGTGTCAGCTTGTATGTTGGTGCATTTTATTACACATCGGCTCTTAAGATTTAGTATTTTCATTTGACTTGCTGGGTGTGGCCAGCGCCCATGATGTATTCAGGGGGAGGAAAATGTCAGCCATTACAAATGACTTGCCTGAAAGGCACTACCATAAACCACCAGCTTGTCCTTAACTTGTTTCACAGCCGCTGGTAGAGAAGCATTTACCCATCTATCACCTCTTAATGCAGGAAGATGTGTCACCCTGTCAGAGGGACCGGCGGTGCTCCTGCTCGGCAGCCCCGGTGCCCCAGGCCAGCTGTGGCTACATGTAGCTCGTCACCACCGCAGCTTGAGCGTGTGTGTGAATGAGTGAATGACTGATTGTGTTGTAAAGCACCTTGGGGGGTTCTAGGATCAAGTACAGGCTATTTACCAAGCGCTTCCGACCCCAAATCCCCCGGAGCCCTGAACACATCAAGTGCTCTAATCACGTCAGATCATTACAGGTCGGCTGTGAATGTCTCTCTGTCTCTCCTTGTTCTGCATGGCACAGCTGAATGCCTTCACTCTGATTAATGAAGACTCACACGGTAATAATACAAATAGGGAATTAAAGCATGGCCGCCTGGCTGTGTAAACATCACGAGGCATGTCTGAGAGGATGGGTCCCGGGGCCCTGACAGCAGGATAAAGACACAGGAAGAGTAATGAGCTATAGGCACGTTCTCAACATGTTCCCATTACGCCTCTCGTTGAGCACACACACACACACACACACACACACACAAATATGAGAAAACTGCCCAGTGCAAAAAAATCGTAGTGCAGGTTCCACATTTAAATTGATGCCACAGGTACCTGATATCTGCATCCTTTATTCAGGTTTGACAACTTCCTATAGGGCAATTTTCTAACAACTTGTTCACTTCCTTTTTTTGTTCACCCTAATTTCCCTCCTAAATGCCATCTGGCGTTTTTTCAAACAGCCACAGGTGTCTTACGTGTCTTCTGCAAGCATTTGTCAAGTGATAGTAAAGACAGCTGTGACGGGGACAAATTTACTCTTTAGACTCTAAGAAAACTGTGACGAGTTGTGAAAAGGAAACAGTCGAGCTGTCCTAGCAGAAAGTTGTTGGCAGCCTTCGCTGTCTGTCTGCAGCGCTTTGCCTCTTCTGCTCCACCTGAGCCCGAATATTACCCTCTCATTCAGTCCCCTCCTCCTTCAGGCGCTGTCGGTGGCAGGCCTCGGCTCAGGCTTGACTGAGGCCGTCGTTGTCAACCCCTTCGAAGTGGTCAAAGTCAGCCTCCAAGCCAACAGAGAGTCCTTCAAAGAGGTTGGCTGAAATCTAATCCTGTGTTAACTTGTGAAGTGTTGGTAAATGTTCATGTTCTCCTTGTGGCTGTCTGACCAGGTCTTTAAAATTCTGTCCACCACAGCAACCCTCCGCTTTTGCCCAGGCGAGACGCATAATCAGGTCAGATGGCTTCGGGCTGAGAGGCCTGAATAAAGGATTGACCTCAACGCTGGGACGCCACGGGGTCTTCAACATGATTTACTTTGGCTTCTATTTCAATGTCAAAGATGCTCTTCCCACCAGCTCGGTAGGTAACACTTTTCAGTCCTGTTACGAGGTTTCTAACCTCTGGCTCGATGATCCTCATGATCCGAGCCGCTTTGCTGGGCCAGAATCACAAGTGTTTAACAGTATGATTGTTTACCCGGCATGGAGGAAGCAAAAATCAGACCAGCTTCCGAGATCAGCTCCTCTAATACCTTGTCTGTTTGCTCTACATAACATCCTCAAAGTTTCAGATTACACATCCGGCAGAGCCTGATGGCTCAAACAAAAGTTAATTTTGTTTAATGGAAACGTTACCATACGCCACATGTACAAACCGGAGCATCAGAGTAACTCCAATGAACTAATTGGAAGCAGACAACGGTGCTATTTTTCAAGACTAGGTAACAGTGGGAGGCCGAGCTCTGCTATATTTTCAGCTTTTTTTTCCAGTGGCGCTTAACGGACGTAGAAGCGGTCATCCTCTGTGAATGCTAATTATGTGGCCGGATGACTGAAATTGCTCCCTTTGTAGGTTATGGCCGTTTCTTTAAGCAGTGATCCTGCCTGTGAGAGCCAACGTGAGCTGTTGTTGAGCGGTGAAATGTAAATCTTGTGACTTCTGACATCTCGCTGGCAGAGCTGATGGTGGCATTTCTCCAAAGCACTTTTGTCGGCAACATGAGCAATGAGTCTGCAGCTCAATCATGTCAGTAGTCAAATTCAGATCACCAAACCCAGGCTTCCCTTGTATGAGCATTTGAATAGTGCATAGGAGGCAGATATCACACTACCATCATTCAGCAGTAGATGTGATGTGTGAGGAGATGTTTGCTTAAAGCTGTTAGGAAGTGGGCTGGCGGGTGTACTTGGGCCGCGGCCGTGTTCCCCCTTCTCCGCATCCCACTTGAAAAAAGCAGAAGAAGTGGGATTAACTGTTGATTTACCACAGCTCTCGGGGTGTCCGGCCACTTGAGAAAGCCCTGGACCAGAGAGGCTGCTGTCATTTGTAAAAATATCCTGGCCAATTAGCTGTCAGAGCTCGCTGAGCCTGGACTTCTTTGGTACAGTAATACCCCTGTGCCGAGTCACAGCCCAATTACCCAAATTGTCCCCATATGCCTCGCCAGTCTGCCGGCATGAACCCTGTTTATAAATCCTCCGTCTTGGCTCCTCCAAGAACATGTGCTTCTGCTCAGCCAATCAGAACCCCGCACCGGCATCAGGAAGCACAAAATCTGCCCCCCGCTACCATAAAATGATCCGGGCTTTCATGGAAGCTTTGCAATCATACGCCTTGGCCCCCTTTTTCTCTTTCACTTTCAGTCTCTCGTCTTCATGAGCTCGCTGGCCATACTTTCTTTAGTCACTTGTCATTTATCACTAAACCTGCCTGCTCTGAAAGTGTTTACACTAAAAATGCAATTGCTCTTTCCAGGACCCGACGTTGGAGTTCCTCAGAAAGTTTACTATTGGGCTAACGTCTGGGACCATCTCCTCCTGTGTAAATATCCCCTTTGACGTAGCCAAGAGCCGCATTCAAGGACCCCAGCCAGTGCTGGGAGAGATCAAGTACCGCACCTGCTTCCAGACCATGGCCCTGGTGTATCGTGAGGAGGGGTACGAATGCCTAAAATACTGTCACAAGGTTGTCCAAGAATTATTGAGTTATTGCTTGTTTTGGTAGCAGTTGATAGTTGGAAACCTGCTAAATTGTCTGCCACCGAACACAAATGAAGCCGTTTCAGCTCCAGGTTTGTTTTCGGTGTGTGTTGCCTACTCTAAGTCACGAATGACTTCATGCAACGTCACGAAACACCAAATCTAGATTCAGGGCTCGACTTCTCTTAAGTGTAATCGTACATTTTTCCTATTCTGTCTCTTCTTAGGCACTGGTGACATATTTTCAAACCTCGGAGCATGACAGCTCCAAACGAAGGCTTCAAGGAATGTTATATTAGCAACTGCCCTGGGCTTTTCTACGTTCCCCCCATGCAGCTCAACAAGACAAGACCCCGCGAGATGTTTGTAGTTGGGGATGTTGTTATGGTTTCTAGTTGGGGGTTGCTGCAAAAACGACCCTGAAACATTGTCACAGGAGCCCCCTCCGCCACATCCACTCCCTTTCTCTAACACAACACAGTCTCAGCTAATTAGTGGTCCCTATGGGAGACGTCGTTAAGCAGACCCTAACGAGCCGCGCGGCGCTCCACAGGTCAATCTAATCAGACAGAGGGCCAGGGAGGAAGTGGGTCGAGCCTTATTAACGCCATCAGTGGCGGGGGCAGGGTGCGGGACAGGGAGCACGAGGCAGGCAGCCACTGATCACCTTGAATGCATTAAGGGCAGGTACTCGTCGGTGGAGGCTGTTAGAACCTGATGGGGTGACGGACATGCAGAGCAGCAGGCCGGCGGGAAGCGAGCGCACGTGCACATGCTTACTGTGCTCAAACATGCAATAACAGAAGGTCAAAAAGGCAGGAAAACAAAAGCATCAAAACAGAGTTCATAGAGATCGTTTTATCAGATCTAAGTAAAAAATAACCGTGTCAAATCCGATCCTCTGTTACAGTGTCTGGTTTTATTTGCTGATTACTTTTTGTTATATCATTTCTGATTGAACCTATAATTTAAGCTAGGATATATTAAAAAAAATCATTTATATGTAGGATTTAATTGTAGTAAATGTACTTTTATGAGCTCATTAACAGATAAGCACAGCCAGTTTTTACACAGTGACTTTGCATGTTTGTGTTGACTTGTTTAAATTTGTTTTTATTTTTTTGTTTCTCTAAACAACCTGTTTTATTTGCAGGTATCTGGCGCTGTACAAAGGACTGGTTCCCAAGATAATGAGACTTGGACCAGGTGGGGGAAAATAGTGACATCAGCAGTCGCCGTAGTGGAAGTGGTGATAGATTCCCCTTTGAATATTTCCAGGAAATAAAACTTTTATTCCTCTTAAGCAAACTGTAATATTTATTTTTTGGCAAACAGCCTTTAAATGTTTTCATAAAAAATTCTGATGTCTTTAACACCGTTTAATCTCTTTACCATGGCTGCAAAGTTTCTTATTCAATCCAATGAATAAGATCTATTTTCATGGAAATAGTCTCCACCTGTGCAGCAGAGCCTCTGAATCTGCATGAAAATGACACGACTTAAAAAAACGGATTATTTTAAACAAATAAGTCGCTCAGAAACTAAACTGGGGCTGTTTCTGTTGCAGGTGGAGCCGTGATGCTGCTGGTGTACGAACACGTGTCCGGATGGCTGCAGAGGAACTGGTGACGATGGGAGAAAAGAGGAAAGGAAATGCTCCGTGTCTCCTCTCAGTCGTGCCTTTTGGTCTATTTTTAACCGACCTCAGTGACATCAGACCAAATTAGTGTTCTTTAGGTTTTTACGGTCAGTGCAAGAAATGTAGGAAAACTGGAATTTCTTTTTAATTCAAATTAGAAATTATTTAAAGAATGATCAAATGTTGTTATAATGAAAATGTTCTGATGCTGTAAAAATACATCAAAGTGTTTTGTTTTAAAACTTTAAAAAGCCAAAATAAATCTATAAAAGTCACGTTAGATGACAAAATACTTTTTTGGAACCACTTGGCACTAAATCAGCCCGTAGACAGAGCCGAGCTGCTCAGTCGCCCACCGCTCCTTTATCAGCGTGAAGACGTAAAGCCAGGATGACCGGTAGTGACCCATGTCCAAATGGCGTTTTCCGAAAAGTCTCCAAACGTTTGTGAGGGTTCTCCGTTTTCTCACACAGGTTCCAGGGTTTTACTAGAAGGAAAATGTCAATGTCCTCTTAAAATAGTCTTTGGCTTCTGGAATCCATTTTTAACCCTTTCCAGCATCAAAAAAATGTGAGAGTTTTGTGAGGGGTTGGAAACCAAATAAAAGATTCATTCCTTGAATAAAATCAGGTGTGTTGTGATTTGTCAACAATCACGTCCCAATCTGACCGAGGGAACCTCTCGTCCCTTCTTTCCACTGGAAAGCGTCGTAAAATGGCCGCCAGGCGTGCTACACGACGTTTAGCTGCCATTATAACGAACGAGTTCCTTTCCACCGGCGGCTACGAGTAACATTCTGGATGCATCCCAGCAGCGAAGGGACGCATCAAAACATGTCGAGCTCCGCAGTTCAGATCGAGCCAAACAGGAAGTCCAACACGAAGGCCGTGTACAACATCCGGAAACTTTCTAAATATCACGTGCGATATGTCTGAAACCCTCGTAGCATGCAGCTGTCTTTCTCCTTGCTTTTTATTGTGTGGACTTCTGAAATCACGCGTGGTGTTTGCAATTCTCCCGTGATTTTGTGACCTCACGGGATCAAACGTGTGGAACGCTTTCGCTCTCGTTTCGCGTCCGAATTGCTCCTGGGTGGAAAGGAGCTTGTGGGTAAAAGGCTGAGTCGTTACTGCCACCGCAGTTAGATCCCAACTAAAAACACTATCGTTGTTTTAGTCTGCAGGAAGCTCACAGCTCAGTGAGGCGATGTCCTAATTCAAGAGCGTTGCTCAAAGTTTTTAAATGGCAGATTTACAAAGTGGTGATAAATCAAAAGGAAAATCCTGGTCTAGTGTTGGAAAGGTGCGGGGCTGCCACGTGCAGCTTTGACATTTCATATTCATCAACCCAATCAGTGGGTCATCATGTGCCGAGGGAGACCACCGCGACCATGTGGAGGAAACCGAACTGCAGAACATTGATCTGCAGCGACCCTGCTCCTCCTGATTGGACTTGCTTAAGGATGCACGCAGACATCTGCTGTTATCACACACGTGTTAGCTCTTATTTTAGTTCCATGCGTTCAGAGATCTGTGTTTTATTCATGCTCATCTGGTCTGCAGGCGAACCTAAACCAACTGGTGAGTGTTTCTTTAAGAGCCTAAAACCACTCACTGATGACATAATTTAGGTCTCACACACCCTAGGGCTCTGGTGTCTCGTGCGAGTACCCAGGAGTTCCCAGTTTTCCTTTCATTTGTCACGCTTCTGACCTCGATGGAGATGTGAACCAGTTGTCTCGACATTCATGATCAGATCACTGAGATTTGGTTCATGTGACTTTTTAAATTGCAAAAATGAATAAAAAGTCTAACTCGTGGGCGCATGTGTGTGTGTGTGTGTGTGTGTGTGTGTGTGTGTGTGTGTGTGTGTGTGTGTGTGTGTGTGTGTGTGTGTGTGTGTGTGTGTGTGTCCTTTAACAGTAGCTGTGTGTTGTCACATTTTGCCCCCCTGGTAGTGTTTCAGCTCCGCTCTGATGCAACCGTATCAGCTTTCTGCCGTTTACTGCACCGTCCCCCCAACTCGTCTTCCTGCTATCACAGCGCTTTGTTGTTTGAGGAGCCGCTAGCTGAAGCAGTCCCATCAGCCAATCAGGTGTCAGTCTGTGGCGGGGAGTCGGTGTCTCAGCAAGCTAAAACAACAAGCTTGAGAAATTCAAATCTGGCAACAAAAATTGGGGAGGGGTGGGGTGGAGGGGGTCTACACACACACACACACTTCTCTACACTATCTCCTCCACAAAAATGCAGTCGCATGCACACCTGTTTCTCAGCCGTAGGCGAATCGGCAGCTCTCTGAGACGCTCATCTTAACCTCATCTGGTTGCAGCTTCCACTCAGCCACGTTGGCATTTGACAGCCATCCTTAATGTGGGAGTTTCTGCGTGCCAAAATGAAAACGGCTCCTGGTTTTTTCGCTCAGGGGCCTGTGGTGACAGACTAGCAACTGCGGCTTGCAGACTGATGAAACTCTAAACGCTTAACCTGTCTTTTTTTTGTAATGAAGTGCTCAACGTCTATGTTTGTTTCATGCCTGATGGTTTGGGCGCCTGTGTTGCTGGTCGCTAAGCAACAAAGCCGCCCTTTACCTGAATTCCCCACACAACTTTTTGCCGCTCATAAATCAGTGAGAAGTGCCGTCTTCATCTTCTCCTCAGTGGCTCCACTCTGACAAGCCTTCCAACCTATGCTCGGCTCTTCTCCGCTCTCCTCGTGCAAACGCGCTTAATGATTGCGTAAAACGTTCTCGACTCACATGACATATAAAAAGCAGTGAGCCGTGCAGGCAGGCATGAAGGCACGGCAGCAGGCATGTCGGGAGTTTCTCAGCTGATTTGTTTTTTGCTCTCCTCTCTAGGAGGTTTTGCTCACCTTCTCTGCTCAGCGTTGTTGTTTTAAGACATTAGGAAAACACTCTGGTTGTCGTCTGCTTCTTTTAGAAATGTCCGCTGAGCAGAAGCATGCATGCAGCCTCGTGTTCAGCCAGTGTCAACACTCTCTGCTCTGTGTTAGTCTACAAAAAGCTGTCGTGTTTCTGATTGCATGTGGAGAAGTAAAGATAACCATACGACACCGAAGTCAGTCTGAGCATAATTAATTATAAACACGCGTCTGCGCCTTTTGGACCGGACAGCTGAACAGCGTTAGATTACAAGAGCCGGGATTATCAGCGTTTCCTTATTGGAAAAACTTTTTGTTCCCTTTTTTTATAACATCATAGTGTGGTGTGAGTCAGACTTGTAGTTCAGCGTTGTTGTGTTTGAGCCCAGGACGTTTGGCGTTGGTGATAGATGGTTAATGGTAAAGAGCTGGCCCAGCCCGGTGTGTGATCATCGCGGCCCTGTGATGTGGTTCATGTACGGTCAAAGCAACACCACGATCCGTGAGCAACGGTCCGTGACCACTGGATGCGGGGAAGAGTGATTTCCAAGTCAAATCAGCTCCTGCAAGGGGAGGACTGTTGACACTGTGGCACACAGGGACTGTTTATGCTGCAACATGGAGAGAGACTCCGAGCTAAACCCAGCACTCTGCCTGAACCCTCGGCGGCAGCCCGAGAGAGCAGGTGAGCGACTATCAAGCGATCAATCAACACCTTCATGCTGGGGCCCAGTTTGTTTAAATCCCTGTTTTCCACTACAGGGCCAGACGGAACTTGCCCGAGATTATTTATTGCTCCACGTTTCCCCTTAAAAACAAAAACTACAGAAACCCTTTTCTGCATCATTTTGGAATGCTGGTCATTTCTCAGCTGTTCCGAGTGCTTTTATTTTGTAATAAACATGGCGGTTTGGCCCCTTGTGTGGCTCGATGAAGGTTTGCACCTGCTGACCTTGGAGGCCGCGGGCCGGCTGCTCCCAGACGGAACCACAACCCGTATTTTTCAAACTCTTTTTCAACAATGATCATCTAATCCAGCATTTCTTCTAAAAGCTGAGAGACTCGGAACGTCTTAAAAAAATTTTATTAACTAATGTTTTTTTATAGAAGAAGCCATTCTGCCATTTTTCTAAACTTAAAAAAAATAAAAATAAAAATACTTCCTCTTATTTTTTATTTTAAAATATTCATCAGTGATGCTAAACTTAAATATTTGCTTCTAAAATTTTGTCTTCATTCATTTAACCTAAAAAATGTCTTTGTCACTCGGCTAAAATAAGATTATAACTTTTTGTGACCAGAGAAATGGCCGTAATAAACGTAATGAGGTGACGAGATGTGATGTTTTATTAGCCAGGATCATTTGGAAAGAGCTGCACTTTGGCGACAAACACTGCACGCTCCAAGCTTTTGATGGACTCTCCTAATGAGCCATGACAGGGAAATCAAAAACGCAGGCTTTGCTAGGGCGAGCAAATTCTTTTTCATTCTTTTTTGTTTATGAAAATCAGGTTCCTAGTCATGTAAAACAGCCAAAATGCCACAATGCCCTGCGTTTAATGTCTTGGTATGTTAATAAGTTGGTTTAGTTGTGATGTTTGGGTTGTGTTTTTTTAAATTCCTCAAACAACCAGGAGATAAAAATGTGAAAACCAGTAACATTTAATAAGATACATTCAATTGCATTGTGCAACATTTGTCCATAATCCGACATGAGACCAAAGCCAATTTAGTCCAAATGTGCATGAAGGTTTCCATGCTTCCTGTGAGGCTAATTGCACTTCATTCAACGTACCTTAAACTAATAAATAAAAGGTCAGCGTGGCTCCTCCTCGGGCCACTCTCTCAGAGGAACGGGAAAATCTATCGTATCAAATCACAACAGAAAAATGTACAAGAGAGAAGCAGTAACAAGTTATTAACAAGCACACTGAAACACTCGGGCCGAGTGTTTGCCTTTTTTTCCTTGATTCCTGAACTTATACGTTACCCCTTTTGCCCAAAGAGTGGAGTAAAGAGTCTGAGAGGAGTAATGCAGCTGGATGGAGGAGCAGTCACACACCAGTCCTTCAGAACACCTGTCCTGCCCGCTGTTTTGGACAACCAGTCTGTTTGCGTCGACTCTACTCTGTGTGTGTGTGTGTGTGTGTGTGGGTCTGAGTCTGTGTGTGGGGTGGCAGGCTCTGATGGAGCTAATCTGGGATCCTTCATGGAAGGGCAGCACCATCCTCCTCGTCTCTCGCCCCGTTGACTCCCCCTCTCTCTGCCACCAGCCCGTGACCTCACAGGGCCGACGCGGCGACCAGGTGGATGGCGTCACGATTGGCCGCCATGCTCTTGAAGGCCAGAGGAGTGGTGATGTCACAGCTGCGGGGAGATAGAGCACTGCCATTGGCCGGCTGCCATGTGGGTCCGGTCACATAACCCGACATGGTGGCGCTGTACCCCATGTAGGGTGACGCTGGGGTGGGAGGGCGGTAGGGATGGATGCTGGGTGCTGTGGCATAGCTGTTCACTGTGGGCAATCCACTCTGCGTCTGGGATTAAAAAGCCATAAAGGGAGTGGGATTACACATCTGAAAACAATCTAAGGGAACAAAAATGTCTAGAAAACTTAATAGACATCTCACACACACACACACACACACACACACTTGAGCAGCTGTCGAACAAGATGTAGAAATAAGTGAAAGTGATGCTGGATGAATTATAAACAGCAGACTTATATTCTACCCTCACTGCCACCACATAAAAATCCCATTTTCCCAGTTTTGATGAATAAATGAACAATTATGCGCGCTCACGCTCCTGGAGAGCATTAAAGCAGCATAAAAACCAAACATGCATGGTCACCCCTCACTATAAGCTGCTTTTTGGAAAAGTGGACGTTCCGCCAGCAGATTCGCCACCGATGGAGACTTGTTAGGGGAAACAGATGTCATGACAGATTGAGAGAAAATACAGGAAGAAGGAAAATGTGATCAGGAACGAGGCGAGGGCAGCGTCTCTGGCGCTGTGACAAGACTTGACTTGAGGGTTTCACCAAGACGTTTGGATCAGGGAGGCTGAGTGGTCTCCTAAATTCCTCCAAACAATTTTTACAACTTTCTGATTCCGGGGCATCTTTTCATTCACCTACTGCTCTGATTCTGACAGAGTTCTGCAACAATTCTGGGTATAAAATAACAAAACCTAAAGCAGATATTGTTTCTCTTCATGCACACTTAGACTGTGCCTAGTTTAGGTATTTCTGTCTCAGGAGCATCCTGCAGATGAACATTCCAATAAATACTTAGAAATATATTTATTTTATTTCCTTGCCTTTAAGTTTGCAATATTTAAAAGTTTCTCTTGAACATTATTCAAACATAGGTTTACCCCAGATTATCTCACTTATCAGTGAAAGTTTTATTTTATTTTTCTTGCAACGTTATTTACAGATTTTTATGACTTAGAATTTTTTATGATTTGAAATTTACTATTTTTGAGACATTTAAGTATTTTATTTAAATAAAACGAAAATTTATATAAAGCAGCTTTTTAAAACTCAAATTTAAAGATTTGTTTTATTAAATGTGCCTTATTTAATAAATTGTTTTAATTTGTATTTTAATCCGTTTGTCTTCTGACTAAATAAAACATTTAAGAGAAAATTAATTTCTTGTAAAACTGTTAAGTGAACTCTTATTTTTTTCTTCCTGTGTTGAGGGTTGAAATGATATTCGGGTTTTTACCGCACCAGCACCGCACCAGGTGTAGAACCTGCACCGGTCCGGTGCTGCTCTGTCACCTGATCAGCGCCTGCAGGCTACATGTTTGGCCTCTCAAACGCACGACCTGGGTTTAGGAGATCTGGGCCTGCTGGCGTGTTTCAGCAGAAATAAAACCAGGAAATCATGCAGATTCAAACGTTTGTTTCGGTTAAATAAAGCAAAAAGTTTGAATATTTTTGTTACTTTGCAGGTAAAACAAATCATTAGATCCTGTAGAAAATCTGAGACTAACTCCTATTTATTATTTGTTTTATTTAACATTAATAAACTCCATAATTCGTTATTCTCCACATTCATTTGCAATTTTTTTCTAGATACTTAGAACGCGCCCAAACAAACATGGCCGGCCTTGTCTTCTGCGGAATGAACCTGAAAAACTCCGCAGGAGGAAGTTGCGCAATAACTCGGACGTTTTGATAATGCGTCAAAATAAGGATAAATCACTGCATGCACGCATGCGCGCACACGGCTTTTTCCAACTGTTCACATCATGACTCTGGATTTAAACCACCAAAACGTGTAGTTATGGACAATAGATAAGAAATATATAAATATAGTTTTAATTTGGGGAAAAAAGTTACAGCAGAAGAATTTTAGAAGTGAAATTGCTCGTGTGTGTCTCATATATTTTATCACAGCGTGTAGTAAAGTCAATTAATAACCAAGGATTTTGTCTTTTATGTGTTTTTGAATTTGTTTCATTTTGGAGGTGACAAAATGTTTAACTCGGTAGAATTCACCGTTAACATCATGAGCTTGGCTGAGAGTAAAGCTCCCCAATATGAAAAACACTGTGTGTGTGTGTGTGTGTGTGTGTGTGTGTGTGTGTGTGTGTGTGTGTGTGTGTGTGTGTGTGTGTGTGTGTGTGTATATATATATATATATATATATATATATATATATATATATATATATATAATAAATCAAAATTTCGAAGCAGCTTGTTAAAGCTAAAAATTGTAATTCTCACAAAAGATAAAAGTTAAATAATCCAATCTGAGCTGTCTTTATTTTGCATTAGATTTTTGAGAAATATTTATTTTTAAAAAGGTAAATAAATTAAAGGAGACGTGTCCATTTGCTGCGTATTTTGCGTCTGGATTTAAATGCGCATTATCCACGCCACTGACTATAGTGGAGATCTCGCTGCTGGGAAATTAGTCCTGTTAAAAGCGCTCCATTCTTCTAGTTTGGCGCTGCAAACGGGTGGCATGTAACTAACTGGGGGTGAAACAGACAGAGAACAGGAAAGTCGGGAGTTGAACAGGAGAAAATAGAGCAACTCTGGTCTGCTGCTGCTGTCCATGCATCCATCAGCCGCAGGTTTGTCCGGTTGCATAAGACGTTAAACTAAGTGACTTTTTGCACCGAAGCGTGCATGTTTGTCATCTCTGCGTCAAGTCCGCGCGCTGTCAAGCGTGTGGTTCAGTGTCCCGTAAAATGAAAATGATCCATCTTTCATTTATGACTCTAAAGTTTGAGATCTCAGGTAGGCTAATAAACATGTTTTAAAATGGGTCATTTAAGAGGATGAAAACAGCTCATTGGTGACTTAATTCATTTAAAATGAACCAGAATAAACTGTTTAGATTGCTCTCGCAGGGCCGAAGAAGCAGGAACTTAGGCCATAACGTATTAAAAATCTTCAGATTTACTTCCTGATTGTAACGAACAGTAAAATCACCAATTATTTTTTTACATAAAACATTTTATGATATAAGATATATTTGTAAAGTAAATCTTTAAATTGTAGCCAACGTGTGTTTTTATCTAAGTGCGCGCAAAAACTCCTATTGGCCAAAAATGCTGTCAGAAAGCTCGTGCACATCTTCGTTTGATTACCTTTCACGTTTTATAAAGTCTCTATCTACTTTTTCTAAACAAAACTAAAAAGAAGTTTCCTGCTAAATCACCTCTCACATTGCGCTCAGCCCTCTGCACAAAGAAACTGCCAAACATCTGCAAATCATTTGGAAAATGCAGAACTTGTTTAGGGAAGCCAACTCCGCTCCACAACACCATCCCGGCGCTTTGTTTGTCCCGTTTAAAGCTCACGGTGTTGGGTTTGAGCTGCGGAGAGGAGCCGGACCCCTGACAGCCCTTCCCCTCCTGCTTCTGGTAAACCCGCACCCAGAAAACCCCCCTCTCACACCACCGAGCCGACCATTAACACTGATTTATCCCGGATCCGGTTTCACTGTGTCCAAAACATTAGTGGTCGTGTTTGAGCGGAGAGATCCGGGCCTTTTACCTGCATGTGTCATGGAGTCTGCACTACAAACACGGCCAGCTCTGGGGCAGCTTTAGCAAAATGGCACCGCTAATAACCTGAACACTTGATCTTAACCCTTCTCCTGCAAAACCATCTGTTTCCTGCTTTTTTAAATCAGTATCAGCAGGCAGGGTTCCCCCAACAGGCATGGGAGGTTTTTAATCAGCTTTTCTTTAAATAAATAAGGAAATTAGAAGCTCGTTTTTCTTTTAAACACACACACACTCACACACATTCTTGCACGCAAAGTGGTTTAAATGTGGTGCAATAAAGAACCGGCTTTGCGCAGCCGTGCTTACTTTGTTGCTCTGTAATAGACCGTATCCCCAGAATATCTGTCACAGAGTGCGAGGAGGGCCATATCCTGTGCATGGCCATGTGTCCGGGGAGCGTGGGCATGCCGGGGGGAGTGGGCACTTTGGAGGCCGGGTATGAGTACAAGTGGTTGTAGGGTAACGTGGGCTGTGGCGGTGGGTGAGGCGGCTGTTTGCCCGACTCGTACTGGCTCTGCTGGGACAGATTCCCGATCTTGTTCCGGAGGATCCGGCTGATGGAGCTGACGGAAGGCAGGTTGAACTTGTCACAAACCCCGTCCGCCAGTAACCGATCCCGGATCTCCCAGGCAAAAATTCCCGGGTCTCTCTGCTTGTAGGTCCTTATGTGTTTGACCACAGTGGGCGTGGTGACCCGCGGCTTGCTGCCTCCGATGGCTCCCGGGAGGATGGAGCCGGTCTCGTTGTAGCGGGCCAGGATCTTGCTGACGCAGCCGTGGGAGACCCGTAGCTGCCGGCTGATGTCGCAGGGTCGAATCCCGAGCTGGGCCAGCTCCACGATCCGGAGCCGGATGGCGTTGGGGAGCGGCCGGCCGTTCACGAAAACCCCACCGAGCTGGTTCACCTCACCAAAGGCTGGTTCTGTGGGCAAAACAAACACAAACGTCAGACACAAGGCACACACACACACACACACACACACACACACACACACACACACACACACACACACACACACACCGATGCACATTTAAACATTAATAAATAAATGTAATTTTTGTTGTACAAGAATCGGCTTTAAATAAACAAGTAAACAAATAAAATCCATCATGAGAACTTCTAACTTGGAGTTAGTGAGTTTCTTAGCTGAACACTGCAGCTCCACAGCTGTGCGCATTCAGGGCTGCGCGCCACGCGGATGTCCTGCGCTCGCTGTCAAAAACTCGTGCGTAAATATTCCTAAAAAATCCACTTCCCTGCTCTAATCCCGTCAAAACATCCCATATCCCTCGCCATTCTGATACATCTCTGAGCTGCTGCTGCATCCCTGTCAAGAAGGGAGTAAAAACCGCAACTCCAAGTTGGAACTCACCCATCGTGCTACAACCGCCGAGGAAGAAAACGGTGTCCGCTTTGTGCCTCCTCCGTGGATCCAGCCCAGCGTCCAGCGTGTCCGCCGTCCGAAACCGCGTTCAAGAAAAAAAAGGTCTTCTTGTGTGACCAGGAACTACAGAGACAATTTCTCTTTCTGTTTCCTGAAGGCACCGGAGACAGGCTTTACATTTCAATGTGCTATCAGGAGGCCGGGCTTGAGAGGAGAGCGCGCGCTGGTTGGACGGCGCGCGCCATCTGCGTTCAGCTGCTGCTGCCATTGGAGGAAAAGTTAGACAAGACAAGTCAACAAGGATGACCCTCCCCTCCGTCTTCTCACTGCCTCACCCCCGCCCCCTCCCAAAAAGCTCCAGGATAGATCATTGAGACAGATTGATGGCATATTCCGATTTTCACTCAGAATTTTACATCGTGCGTCAATCTTTCATCATCATAAAGACACGTCTCTGCAGAAAAGCTGCATTATTAACTAAAACCTAAAGGTAGATTGCATTTGCAAATTTTTACGAATTATTTCTGAATAAAATGTTAACGGGACCTGAGTGATTCCTGCTACAACTTATTCCTCGAAATCTTGGCAGAAAAGTCGAAATCGTTCATTTGGAGAAACTATTTTAAGTATTTCTTAGCCAAATGAAGCAAGTTCTACTTTGAATTGATGCTTTCTAATCCACCTGGTTCGTATGAGAAACTCCAAACGAAACCATCACAATTGGGTTGATTTAATATTTATGGAAATGTAAAATAAAGCTGAATAGAAACAGGAGATTTGGGTGAATTCACAATGCAACATTTAGATATTCATCTGCGTTCACGCCTTCAAAATAAACGATTTGCATCAACTCATATCAGTGTCAGATTATACACCGCACATGGAAATTATGCGGACCTTTCTATATTTTTATTTTTAAAACTTTACCTCGGTGTCCTCTGACGCACAGACTTGGTTTCCTGCTGAAACCTCACTTGCGCTTAATAATGAAGAATTGTTTGCTCCTCGGGCCAGACACAAACACCCTGACTTTGCACCTTCTCTTTCTTCCCGCCGTGCCACATGCTTCAGGTTATCCCCTGTCATATTTTATTTAAAGGCCGCGGCGCGTGACTGACCTTCATCTCGTGGTCTAAAGGGATCAGTCTGTATGGAAACATAGGCTCTCCCGCACAATTAGGAATATTGCTAAAAAGCTCCGCAGACATGAAACGCCACGAGGAGCCGAAACGTACACATTCATGTATTTGTTCCAGCACGCGCAGCTCCATGGGCTGCAGACTGGAGGTTGTGTTTACCTTTCCCACCTATCCAGGAGGACGTCACAGATGTGCGTAAATTAGGATTTTCCCCACCTGTTTTTGTTTACATTCAGGCTAAATCCTCTCTTTTTTACCCCCCCCCCCCCCCCCCCCCCCCCATCCCCACCTGCCCGCACCATGCATGTTTACGGGGAAACTCGCTCAGCTTGTTTCCACTGAGGTGAGACAACAAAAAGTCACATGTGAGGGGTCAACGTGCTGGCTGCTCCATCCTTAAGCACCTTTGATTCAGGAGCTGGACATCCTGCAGGCGCGTGAAGGTGAAGATGTTTAAAGCGTCGCTGTTGCATGGAAATAATAATAATAATAATAATAATAATAATAATCTTATGGTCATGTAATGGTTTCTGACATTATTATTATTATTATTATTATTATTATTATTATTATTATTATTATTATTATTATTATTATTATTATTAAGCCTTTTCTTCTAATGAACTGTACATAAAGAATTAAAAATTCTAACGTGTCTCTGAGTTCTCACGTGGTTTCCCAGAATTTTACTTGGCGTTGTTGTTTTCGCCTTCTCCATTCTTCCCACCGACCTGAATTGTCCCTGCTGCCCCTGAAGGCATCATCTCACCTGTCGGACAGATAACGGACTCCGAGCTGCGCAGATGCTGTTAGCACTTTTGTTCTCCTCAATCCAGCATTTAATTTGTCAGTTATTTTTATTTCATTTCTGTTTTACTTCACTGTCTTATCACCATCTTTCTTTTAGTTTCACCGATAAAAGATCTGTTAAAAAGGTAAAATGAACTTTTAGGATTCTTGTCCTGGTCAGACTAACTTTATTCTGCCTGTTTGCAACTGTTTACTCCACAGAGAAACTTTGCTGCAGATTATTTAGACGCTGCAGCAAACTTCAGCTAAAGCTTGGGTTATTCAGCATTTTTCTGTTCAAATAGGCACATTTGAAACGTTTTAATAGTTTTTTAATCCTAAAAGAGTAAAAGCTGGTATAGTTTCAGCTCATCTATTCTGCTTTAGACGTATTCCAGGGAGTCAAAATATAAAATTCACATTAAGGTACACTTGTGGTATTATTCGTACCTCACTGATTTAAATATAATAAATATTCTGATCAAAAGTAGAGATGACGTCAGTACCGCAGCCGCTGCGGGTTTAGTTTTTCCATTTGCCGGTTTTCAACGAGTAAAGACATGAAGTAGCACATCCTGGTTCTTTTGTTCATTTAGGGTCAAACTGTTGGAACCAACTGGAGTAAATTCCCTTCTTGAAATTTGATCTGATCATTTCATCATAACGTTCAAATAATTATTAGAAAACTGGTTTCTGAACTGCAACAATAAAATAAGAACTCCTCCAACCTGATAGAAACAAGGTTTGTCTAAATTAAAACGGTCCAAGTGAAACTGCTGTCTTTTCAAAATGTAATTCCTAGTAAAATCTGGCACTTCATTCATGTCGAACTCAGACTCAATCCACGCTGCCAGATTTTCACATTTGTGTATCAAAACATATTTTATTACCAAATTACCAATATTTATTAAAATAATAAACGTATTATAACCGGTATTTAGTTTAAAAATAATTTTCTATTTATAGGAAAAAATGTATGTCCTAATCTGCTTTAATAATCTCTTTAAAAAATCAAGAAATAAAACACGAATATTGATTACTATTACTATTATTATTATTATTACTATAATAATAATAATAATAATAATAATAATTATTATTATTATTATTATTATTATTGTTGCTGTTGATAATAATAATAATCTTATTACTATTAATATTATGATATTGCGTCGGGCATACTGCAGGTGTGTTTTTTATTTTGATGTGATAATCGTTCAGCCGCAAGATCACACATGCTTAATATTGAGCAAAAACAACAATAAAAACATTAATGACGACAATAATAATAATAAAATAATAATAATAATAATAATAATAATAATAATAATAATAAACTGTATCTCTTATATTCAACCATCCGAGCAGGGAGAAAACTGAATGGTTCCCAGTTGCTGGTTTAATGTTCCCAGTAGGATCCTGTGGGAAATCAGTCACCATTAATGACGCACTGGAACGAGCAGCGATTTCTTATTTAAAGCTTGTGGGTCTGTCATCTCTGCATGTCCCCGGCGGGACTCAGAGAGGGACAACGTGCTGCTTTAGACCAGAAGTCTTTTTCATAAAGCTCCTTTATCATTAAGAAGAATAATCTGATCAGATTGAAGAAAGAAAACTTGTTGGATTGAGTTGTAGAGAAAGCCGGGCCGCTGTTTCAGCCCCCCTTAACCTCTGGACACCTTTAACGTCCACCCTCTGGACCGGGCCAGGGGACTCCAGCGCGGCCTTAATGAGGACGAACGCAGAACGACCTATATTCATGTTTTAGAGGCCGACTCTGCTCCCTGCGCAGGGCCGCTCACAACCCATATTTACGACACTTTTACACATATATCACTTTGACATGTCTGGCACCTGGCGTCCATTAGGAATAACTGTCCCATCCAGCCTCCCGAAGACAGCGGAGGGACATAATAAATGGACACTTTGACCTTCACTTGCGGAGACTGTTGATACAGAAACACACCACCGCTTGATGCGCTCCAGGAACTGTGTCACACCTGCACGAGACTTCTTTGAGTTTCTTATTCATTATCCTGATGCGTAATTAGTGACGTTTGGGTGCAACAACGGTCCCAGAGTTATTAGAGATTACAGAGACATCGGTGAGAGAGAGAGAGAGAGAGAGAGAGAGAGAGAGAGAGAGAGAGAGAGAGAGAGAGAGAGAGAGAGAGAGAGAGAGAGAGAGAGAGAGAGAGAGAGAGAGAGAGAGTTTATGTCTTATTTAATTAACAGCGTCTGGGAAATAAGCCCACGGGAGAAAATGAATAATTTTAAATCTTTCTCTATTTGAGACGTTTATTTGGAAAACTAAAACGACCTATCACACTGTCCTAAACCCATTTATTTAAAATAGTTTTTGTGTCTTTTGAAAATGAACCGAGTTTCAACCCATCCAGTTTATCTCACTGCTCTTGTTGGTTTCATGCTCTGAAGGTCACTCATGTCATGACGCTGGTTTGATGCCAAAGAAACTAGTTTTTTCGAAGCAGTGGCGCCATCTGGTGGATTCCAAAGTAAATCATATTGAACAGACGTGCCCTTCTGTTAAATGAGGAAAACCCCATAATTGTAACCCAAATATCTTAAAAAAAGATAAACTAAAGAAAATGTTATATATAACAAGAATCGAACATGATTAAAAGATCATAATTTTAAAATGGTGGAAAAAAGGAAAAGTATGCATTAAAATGAGAATAAAAAGGAAAAAGTTAAACACAGGACCAATGCGCTTGTGTACACAACACAGAAGAGCCACCACTGCAGGTCAAGACTCAGTCCACTCACAGCTGGAATGACACATTGTGGACAGAGCAGATGGTTTGGAGGTGAGTAAACGAAGCCAACTACGTCAAACAGAAAGACCTAAATTATACAGAGGAGGAGGCTTTCACCTGTCCAGCGCCTTCGATGCTGCTCTAAACCTAACTCTAAACAGTTTCAATCTAGGTCACACCCTTCTCTATCTAATCCAAACAACAATTCCCTCTAACAACTTCAACGGCCCCTCAGGGCTTCGGGGTATTCAGAGGGATTTTCAGCTCGTTAAGCGACAATAGACAGCTACAGTTTATAAGCTTGACTCCATATTCAAGTCAGAAATGACAAAGCTCCTGAGATGAGAAGCAAAACATCTTCACCAAGTCCAGTTGCCTTCATTTGAACCCTTTGGACTACCATGACCTGGATGGCTGAGAACCGTCACCAGCATAAAGGCTAGATGACCATTTCCAAGCTCCTAATAGTTAAAAGACCATCTCCAAACCAACACCATCAAAAT